CATGCCCTGCTGGACCTCCCAAATTACCCCACACCTATGTGACAGCTGATGTCCACTGCTCACAGGGATCCTACTTCAAGCCTTCTATTGAGTGCTTGCAGCATGCAGATACTCCACAAAGAGGGTTAATCCACACAATGGCTAGCACACAAGACCGTGAACCTGAAGATCAATCCCTGACAACAGGGGCCACCTCCAGCCCTCCTAACTTCCGGAGCATCCTGCGTGAGGAGTTGATTGATAGTGAATGCCGTATGGAAAACATAATTGCAGGTGCACTGCGCGAGTTCTCAATGAAGGTAGGACGCCTCCTGAATGAGGCTTTTTCTCTGAATATGGTCAAGGAGGGACATAAAGAACGCTCTTTGCCCCTGGTGAGCCTGTTGAGAAATAACTTTGGCCAAGCAGTGGGGGATGACCTACTCAATGAATGGTTGCCATCATGCTCCCCAAATGAAAACTGTTCAATTCCATTGCCAGAATTAAGCCCCCCTACCATGAGTCCTATCATACAGATAGCTGCACCACTAAATGATCAGGTTGCAAACTGCTCTCCCAAAAATAAGAATCAAAGTGCATCACATCAGAAAAATAAAAATCCAAGGGTCAGCAGCTCTGCCAAAAGAGTAACCAGCTGCAGTCAAGGGAACAAAAACTCTACAAAATGAAGCCCTCAAACAGTATGCATGGCCACATAAGGCGTTGCTCAGTCTTGGAACAGTGCTTTGTCATTATTCAATTCAATTGTCATGGCTTACCTAACAAATTAACTGAATTTAAAGTCTTCCTTTACACTAAGAAGCCGGATGTAGTTTGTCTTTGTGAGACCTGGCTGAAGGGGAGGGAACACGGTTTGTTGGTTACCAATGTTTTTGGTCACACAGGCAGAGGGCTCCCAGAGGAGGTTTAGCCATCCTGGTACGGTGTGATCTGGCTGCTCATCCCTTGCGGATGAACGCCTTTCAGGCTGGTCATTTGGAATGCCAGGCAGTGCAAGTCTGGTCAGCACTGGGATTGATTAGTATTGAAAATTTCTATAACCCTGGGGCCATTATCTCCCAAGCTGAGTGTGTCTCATATTTTGAGCAGTTCAGATTTCCCTGCATCTTGGCAGGGGACTTTGATGCCCACTCTCCAGTTTGGGATACTCGTGGCTGTCACAACATGACAGGCAAATCATTGGAAGCATCTGTAGATACACTAAATCTGGGTATTTTGAATGACTGTTCCTTTCAAACTTACATTGATAATAGAATAGGCTCCACATCTTGTTTAGATTTATTTATAGTGTCACTGGACCTCCTATCAAGTTCCACAATATGCAGAGAGAAAGACCTAGGTAGTGACCACTTCCCAGTTAGCTGCTTGGTTGGCATATCAATAAATCGAGCATCTGAATCGATGCCTACCACAAGGGTGGAAGCTATACGCTGCTGACTGGCCAAAGTACAATTCAACATTGAGCCAAAGGGGTCCACAAGAACAGAGCCAGCAATCAGCAGAAGAGATGTGATCACGGCTGACTGAGCATATAGTCTCAGCCGCAAATGGAGCCATACCATGCTCCAGTGGAGTGCGTCATTTTTGCTTCTCCACCCCATGGTGGGACAATGAATGTGCAGAGGCAGGCGAAAGGCAGACTCTGGAGATCACCTACACCTGCTCCATCACCCTACTTCCCTGTATTGGGAAATTGATGGAGCGTCTTGTCCTGTGTCGACTTGAATACCATCTTGAAACTAACAACCTGCTACCGTCAACCGGGGCTACTCGGGACAGGCGGGGCTACTCGGGACAGGCCTATGACACGGCATAAAACTGTTGTAGTAGCAAAACTAATTGGAATATCGCAAAACTAAAAATAGTGGCGTAAACGTAACTATTTTTCCTATCTATCTAGTATAAAGGAAGTCGAAAAATACTACATTTACTTGCTTTGAAAAATTCCTGAAAAAAATGGTGAAAAACTATGTTTTGTGAAGTTACAACTGCTAAGGTATGTAGCAAAAAAAATATTCGCCGTTAAAAAATTTTACTTACATAAAAGTTGCACCCAGGTGTCGGCTTGAAAACGTAATTGACAGTATTTGCCTATCTAATTCCAAAAAGAAATGGCAGCCATTTCCGCACGGCGGGGCTACTCGGGACACCCCCCGGGGCTATTCGGGACACCCCCAAAAACACATTAAGGGTATAACCTCAGTTAGCAAAGGCTTCAATTACAAAAAAAATTGATTAAAAGCAAAGAATATTGATCACATTTTCCTTGCTCAGCGAAAAAATTTCACTTATGGAAAAATTAGTGCATCATCAGTCATCTTAAAATTGTGCATAGCATGTCATGTATAGAATTGTGCACCAGGCATTATAGAATGAAAAGTAATTGACCTAAACTATGATTTATTTCTCCAAAAGATAGGCTGGTTGTCACTAAAACATTCCTTTCAGGAAGTTAATGATCACGGGAAGTTAATGATCACGCAAAGTTAATGATCACGTGAAGTTAAATACCACGTGAAGTTAATGATCACGGGAAGTTAATGACCACGTGAAGTTAATGATCACGGAAAGTTAATGATCACGTGAAGTTAATGATCACACAAAGTTAATGATCACGTGAAATTAATGATCACGCTAAGTTAATGATCACGTGAAGTTAATGATCACGCGAAGTTAATGATCACGGGAAGTTAATGATCACGCGAAGTTAAATACCATGTGAGGTTAATGATCACGGGAAGTTAATGACCACGTGAAGTTAATGATCACGGGAAGTTAATGATCACGCGAAGTTAATGATCACGGGAAGTTAATGATCACGCAACGTTAATGATCACGCGAAGTTAATGATCACGCGAAGTTAATGACCACGTGAAGTTAATGATCACGCGAAGTTAATGATCACGCGAAGTTAATGATCACGCGAAGTTAATGATCACGCGAAGTTAATGACCACGCAAAGTTAATGACCACGCAAAGTTAATGACCACGCAAAGTTAATGACCACGCAAAGTTAATGACCACACAAAGTTAATGACCACGCAAAGTTAATGACCACGCAAAGTTAATGACCACGCAAAGTTAATGACCACGCAAAGTTAATGACCATGCAAAGTTAATGAC